AGTAGGACCAAATACGTTGAACCTAGGTAGGACCAAATACGTGGAACCTAGGTAGGACCAAATACGCGGAACCTAGGTAGGACCAAATACGTGGAACCTAGGTAGGACCAAATACGTGGAACCTAGGTAGGACCAAATACGTGGAACCTAGGTAGGACCAAATACGTGTAACCTAGGTAGGACCAAATACGTGTAACCTAGGTAGGACTGACCTATTTTTACAAGCGAGGCCTGCGCGTAATAATTATTGATAATTATTGATAATTATTGATAATTATTGATAATTATTGATAATTATTGATAATTATTGATAATTACTTATTATACCAGGTATTTTTACAAGGGAGTGTATGATAATTATTGATATATAGTCTAATAACTTAATAACCAGGTTGCTACAGACTCTGAAGGAAAGCTACTCTGAGTGGGAGATGAGGGGACAGTGTTCTGATGACTTGATAGAGCAAGTGTTGAAACTATTAGACAAGAAACAGGTGCGACACCATGGTAACACCATGGTAACACCATGGTAACACCATGGTAACACCATGGTAACACCATGGTAACACCATGGTAACACCATGACAACCATCACTCTACTTCGTAATCTTACAATGCATATTCACATATTTACTAATTTCTAAATTCCAATGTTAGTTCAGTGGCAGAGTAATATTCAATTTTATTTTAAGGTATTAATTGTGTAACTGGTGTGTTTACAGAACAATATAAAGTATGAGGTGATATCACGACACGACCCTGCACGTGTAGTTGCTGCGCGGCGCTGTCCGGAGGTGGAGTGGGGGAGGAGCACAATGTTAGGGAACACAGTGGAGAGGGGGTACAATACAAACATTGTAACATTGCTCTGTCCTGTCAAACAATCAGACACACAGGTAAGGGAGGGGCTACAATACAAACATTGTAACACTGCTCTGTCCTGTCAAACAATCAGACACACAGGTAAGGGAGGGGGTACAATACAAACATTGTAACACTGCTCTGTCCTGTCAAACAATCAGACACACAGGTAAGGGAGGGGGTACAATACAAACATTGTAACACTGCTCTGTCCTGTCAAACAATCAGACACACAGGTAAGGGAGGGGGTACAATACAAACATTGTAACACTGCTCTGTCCTGTCAAACAATCAGACACACAGGTAAGGGAGAGGGGCTACAATACAAACATTGTAACACTGCTCTGTCCTGTCAAACAATCAGACACACAGGTAAGGGAGGGGGTACAATACAAACATTGTAACACTGCTCTGTCCTGTCAAACAATCAGACACACAGGTAAGGGAGAGGGTACAATACAAACATTGTAACACTGCTCTGTCCTGTCAAACAATCAGACACACAGGTAAGGGAGGGGGTACAATACAAACATTGTAACACTGCTCTGTCCTGTCAAACAATCAGACACACAGGTAAGGGAGGGGGTACAATACAAACATTGTAACACTGCTCTGTCCTGTCAAACAATCAGACACACAGGTAAGGGAGGGGGTACAATACAAACATTGTAACACTGCTCTGTCCTGTCAAACAATCAGACACACAGGTAAGGGAGGGGGTACAATACAAACATTGTAACATTGCTCTGTCCTGTCAAACAATCAGACACACAGGTAAGGGAGAGGGTACAATACAAACATTGTAACACTGCTCTGTCCTGTCAAACAATCAGACACACAGGTAAGGGAGGGGGTACAATACAAACATTGTAACACTGCTCTGTCCTGTCAAACAATCAGACACACAGGTAAGGGAGAGGGTACAATACAAACATTGTAACACTGCTCTGTCCTGTCAAACAATCAGACACACAGGTAAGGGAGGGGGTACAATACAAACATTGTAACACTGCTCTGTCCTGTCAAACAATCAGACACACAGGTAAGGGAGGGGGTACAATACAAACATTGTAACACTGCTCTGTCCTGTCAAACAATCAGACACACAGGTAAGGGAGGGGGTACAATACAAACATTGTAACACTGCTCTGTCCTGTCAAACAATCAGACACACAGGTAAGGGAGGGGGTACAATACAAACATTGTAACACTGCTCTGTCCTGTCAAACAATCAGACACACAGGTAAGGGAGGGGGGGTACAATACAAACATTGTAACACTGCTCTGTCCTGTCAAACAATCAGACACACAGGTAAGGGAGAGGGGCTACAATACAAACATTGTAACACTGCTCTGTCCTGTCAAACAATCAGACACACAGGTAAGGGAGGGGGTACAATACAAACATTGTAACACTGCTCTGTCCTGTCAAACAATCAGACACACAGGTAAGGGAGAGGGTACAATACAAACATTGTAACACTGCTCTGTCCTGTCAAACAATCAGACACACAGGTAAGGGAGGGGGTACAATACAAACATTGTAACACTGCTCTGTCCTGTCAAACAATCAGACACACAGGTAAGGGAGAGGGTACAATACAAACATTGTAACACTGCTCTGTCCTGTCAAACAATCAGACACACAGGTAAGGGAGGGGGTACAATACAAACATTGTAACACTGCTCTGTCCTGTCAAACAATCAGACACACAGGTAAGGGAGAGGGTACAATACAAACATTGTAACACTGCTCTGTCCTGTCAAACAATCAGACACACAGGTAAGGGAGGGGGTACAATACAAACATTGTAACACTGCTCTGTCCTGTCAAACAATCAGACACACAGGTAAGGGAGGGGGTACAATACAAACATTGTAACACTGCTCTGTCCTGTCAAACAATCAGACACACAGGTAAGGGAGAGGGTACAATACAAACATTGTAACACTGCTCTGTCCTGTCAAACAATCAGACACACAGGTAAGGGAGGGGGTACAATACAAACATTGTAACACTGCTCTGTCCTGTCAAACAATCAGACACACAGGTAAGGGAGAGGGGCTACAATACAAACATTGTAACACTGCTCTGTCCTGTCAAACAATCAGACACACAGGTAAGGGAGGGGGTACAATACAAACATTGTAACACTGCTCTGTCCTGTCAAACAATCAGACACACAGGTAAGGGAGAGGGTACAATACAAACATTGTAACACTGCTCTGTCCTGTCAAACAATCAGACACACAGGTAAGGGAGGGGGTACAATACAAACATTGTAACACTGCTCTGTCCTGTCAAACAATCAGACACACAGGTAAGGGAGAGGGGCTACAATACAAACATTGTAACACTGCTCTGTCCTGTCAAACAATCAGACACACAGGTAAGGGAGGGGGTACAATACAAACATTGTAACACTGCTCTGTCCTGTCAAACAATCAGACACACAGGTAAGGGAGAGGGTACAATACAAACATTGTAACACTGCTCTGTCCTGTCAAACAATCAGACACACAGGTAAGGGAGGGGGTACAATACAAACATTGTAACACTGCTCTGTCCTGTCAAACAATCAGACACACAGGTAAGGGAGAGGGTACAATACAAACATTGTAACACTGCTCTGTCCTGTCAAACAATCAGACACACAGGTAAGGGAGGGGGTACAATACAAACATTGTAACACTGCTCTGTCCTGTCAAACAATCAGACACACAGGTAAGGGAGGGGGTACAATACAAACATTGTAACACTGCTCTGTCCTGTCAAACAATCAGACACACAGGTAAGGGAGGGGGTACAATACAAACATTGTAACACTGCTCTGTCCTGTCAAACAATCAGACACACAGGTAAGGGAGGGGGTACAATACAAACATTGTAACACTGCTCTGTCCTGTCAAACAATCAGACACACAGGTAAGGGAGAGGGGCTACAATACAAACATTGTAACACTGCTCTGTCCTGTCAAACAATCAGACACACAGGTAAGGGAGGGGGTACAATACAAACATTGTAACACTGCTCTGTCCTGTCAAACAATCAGACACACAGGTAAGGGAGGGGGTACAATACAAACATTGTAACACTGCTCTGTCCTGTCAAACAATCAGACACACAGGTAAGGGAGAGGGTACAATACAAACATTGTAACACTGCTCTGTCCTGTCAAACAATCAGACACACAGGTAAGGGAGGGGGTACAATACAAACATTGTAACACTGCTCTGTCCTGTCAAACAATCAGACACACAGGTAAGGGAGAGGGGCTACAATACAAACATTGTAACACTGCTCTGTCCTGTCAAACAATCAGACACACAGGTAAGGGAGGGGGTACAATACAAACATTGTAACACTGCTCTGTCCTGTCAAACAATCAGACACACAGGTAAGGGAGGGGGTACAATACAAACATTGTAACACTGCTCTGTCCTGTCAAACAATCAGACACACAGGTAAGGGAGGGGGTACAATACAAACATTGTAACACTGCTCTGTCCTGTCAAACAATCAGACACACAGGTAAGGGAGAGGGTACAATACAAACATTGTAACACTGCTCTGTCCTGTCAAACAATCAGACACACAGGTAAGGGAGGGGGTACAATACAAACATTGTAACACTGCTCTGTCCTGTCAAACAATCAGACACACAGGTAAGGGAGGGGGTACAATACAAACATTGTAACACTGCTCTGTCCTGTCAAACAATCAGACACACAGGTAAGGGAGGGACTACTTGTACTCCGCATATAACACCATAGTGTTACCGCGGTGTTACCGTTGTGTTACCCTGATGTTACCATGGTGTTACTATGGTGTTACCCTGGTGTTACTGTGGTGTTACCGTTGTGTTACCATGGTGTTACCATGGTGTTACCATGGTGTCACCATGGTATCACCATGGTGGCAATGTGCAATCACACTGCAGAGGAAGCTCCATGTTGCACCTCCGAAATGGTTTTTGTGAAAATGATAATTTATGGGTACTGCTTCATAATGGGAGTTTGTTTGCTAACGGTAACCAGTATTACCCTGGTGTTACCAGTAATTATAACAGGTTTTAAAAACACACGTGGGAGGTCACTACCTAGTGAGAGATAAGGACTACAACACTATAGAGTCCTCCACATTGTTAAAGCAAGTTACCTGCCTTGTCAAACTAACTCTTCCTAATCTCTCTGTCTTCAGATGTGACACTTACATAGAGGTTAGAGTCTTGATAGGGCCGGGGGGGGGGGTTAGAGTTAGAGCTGCAAGTTATTGGTTAGGGGGGGGGGGGGGTTAGAGTAGCTTACCCCACTAGTAGTAGTACCTCCCCCACTTAGTGTGTAACCAGAGCATCCAGTTCTAAGTGTCTTTAGTCATCTAATTTTTAGTTCTGCTAGTGGATACCATTTGTATAAATAAGAAACAGTTTTCTTTACCAGTTATCTTTATCTGGTAATTTCTCAAATTAATGGCTTTTAATTTATGTATCTTTTCTCTATGATATAATAATATAGAACTTGTTTTCAAATATTACAATCCCTAACCTAGGTTGTTGGAGTTAATGGGTATACCCTGCATCTGTGCCCTGTAGTTGCCATGACGACTAAGAATGTAGATAACAAACTAGTACCTGTCACTATGACAGGTGCTCATACCATGCTATTCTCTACTGTAAGTACAGGTAGTGACCGGGTACCATGCTATTCTCTACTGTAAGTACAGGTAGTACCATGCTATTCTCTACTGTAAGTACAGGTGTCAGGTAGTGGCCGGTTACTCAATAATCAAACAATTCACACAATCTTTAGCTTAGTGTAAGATGATTCAAAACAATGTCTGCATGGTAATTGGTAATGGATTAAATTAAAATAATGTTAACCACAGTATCTGATCTAATATAAGCAACTGTATCTCAGAAGCTAGATGAGCGTTGGTTGATGTGCAGTGGCAAGTCTACCTGGCAACCTTTCAGTCAATTAGCTCATTTAACGGTTAGTTAATTAGTTGTTAATTAGTTGTTAATAAGTTGTTAATTAGTTGTTAATTAGTTGTTAATTAGTTGTTAATAAGACGGTAATTAGTTGTTAATAAGTTGTTAATTAGTTGTTAATTAGTTGTTAATTAGTTGTTAATAAGACGGTAATTAGTTGTTAATAAGTTGTTAATTAGTTGTTAATTAGTTGTTAATTAGTTGTTAATAAGACGGTAATTAGTTGTTAATAAGTTGTTAATTAGTTGTTAATTAGTTGTTAATTAGTTGTTAATTAGTTGTTAATTAGTTGTACTCCACTACAGGACTCCACTACACTACACAGCACAGTAGTGTTGCTGAGTGAGTTACGAATGCTGCACTCACTGCACCTAACCCTGGAGGACTGTGTAGCACTTGTTAACACTGCAATAAAGGAGCACTCACTAGACACTGGCTACACCGGATCTCTGCCTCTACACCACTCCTTCACTCTTACTCTACGCTTACTACTCCATACTCTACAGAGGTCAGTGCATTGCAAATACCACACCTGAGACCGCTCACCAGTGACCTTAACACTTGAATACTTGAACTTATCAGTTCAAGTATTCCCAATAAGCTTATATACCTACACGTAGGTAGGTAACATACCGACCCCTCCCTGCTACTAGAGTAATAAGCTAACACAGGCCGTGAGAACTGACACACCAGTGTATGAGGTGTCCTGATATATTTAGCTGTAGTCATGGCAACCGTAGGTATCTTTATTATCCTCTAAGTATATCCTCTGTCGGTGGCCCTCATGACATTCACAAACCTGAGCTCTGCTAGTAAACCTGACCTATCTCATTAACTTTGGGTTGCTACTTTAATGAAAAAACTTAATTTCACGTTGAATGTGGTTAACGTCAAGAAAGACTTCATTAGTTTAGGGCAGAAAAATAAAATGAGATTTCACTAATGAAATTGGATCCCTTCTAGTGGCCACTATTAATTCCTTGTACTACAAACGTACGCCGCGAAAACATTTTAGTATACAAATCGTGTAACCGTTCTTGTAAATCGCGCGCGCAATTGATCAAATTTGGAATCTACGTTATCATGTTAATTTGACTGTCGTTCAGAGATTCCACGATTTCAATCTAACATGTATGTGCTGCAGTAGTAGAGTGATACGACATCCGAAGACAAAAGACATAGCACTAAGGAAGTTGGTTTTTGGTCGGTCCCACAAGTACGACGGATATGTCAGAGACATCGTCAAGGTAAGTTACCTTGCAATTTGCATGCTGTTCACTGTAAGGTAAGTAAACTTACCTTGCAATTTGCATGCTGGTTACTGTCCCAGTAAATATGCTACAATGTTCACAGTTTAGTTGCTTGTTTGACCCTTCTCTTCCTTGGCAGGTGTGTTTAATGTTCCTCAGAATGGAGCAGGTAGAGGAGTTCTCAGGTCTCTTCCCTCCAACTCCTCTCAGTTCTCTGGGTCAATATGAAGAGAGCACCAGCAGTAGTGAGGAGGAGGAGGAGGAGGAGGAGGAGTTATCTGATTCTGTAATCAGTGATATGGACGATGAGGAGGAAATAATGGATCTGAACGGTTTGTAATTTAAAGGAACTGCGGCCATACCTCGTTATTACATCAATACAATAGTGCGTAATATACAGTGTATATATAGTGTATATGGACACGTTCATTGAAGTTTGAGGATATTGGTAAATTTCTAAAATAGCGTTTTCGACGATAGTGGCTTAATTTTAGAATCTATTAATCTAACATGTTCATAAGTTCTGAACATTAGCCACGTGACCCATACTCCCATATGCACCGCTCAGAAATAAAATGTATTGCTTTTAGGCACTATAATGTAAAAAATGTCACATTTTTGTGACATTGTTTACCATAGCTGCCCGATCAGCATTCTTTGGTCTAAAATATAGTAGATTAGGTCAATATAACAATTATGATTCAACATTGGTTAAAGGGCAGTGATCGAACGGCTTTAAGGCAATATTTCGTAAACTTTGTCACACTCAGAATACGAGACCTCTTTTCTACTGTGAGGTGTCCTCAAAACCCTTTCAACTCATTATTTGATGGTTCTTCTGCCAATCATAGCCCTAAAATATGTTGTTTTGAAAAGTTAGCAAATATATACACTTGGTTATTGGGAAATGATGTAAATTCTGTCACATTATATGGAATTTGATATATAATCATTTATATCTGATTTTGTTTCGGAAGGCGGGAAAACTCTATTTAAGGACGATACACGGATACAGTTGATTCAAGTATAGGGCAGTTGATGTAAACATCGTCACAAAATGATACGACATCGTAAATAGGTTAAATTTTGCGGGAAAACTCTATATAAGGACGATACACGGATACAGTTGATTCAAGTATAGGGCAGTTGATATAAACATCATCACAAAATGATATACGACATCGTAAATAGGTTAAATTTGGAAACAATGATTATAGAATGAAATAGTCTGTGATTAACATAATATTACGTACATTATAAAATGGGCAGGGGTTTTTATATTTCCTCTGAATTAATCATTTCAGACTGTAATTAGGACTGTTCACGTGAAAGAAATTGTATCTAAATTTTACAATGACGTACGCGTATGTGACGAAATTTACATTTCTTGACCCTATTTTGAAGAACCATACCTCGGTTAGAATTCAATGTTCTTCCAGGAATTATTGGTTGATTATTGTTCAGCAAATTAGAACTCAAGTTTAATGATGCTGAGTTTAATTTTACTAAGTTACTGAAATGTGACAGAATTCACCTTTTCTGCCCCAACAGTACAATAATTTCAATGTGATGAAAAATTGGCATGGGTTTCTACATTTCTTGTATAAATCCATTCCAACTATAATAAGGACTATTGATATGAAAGAAAATCTATCTAAATTTTAAAATGACGTATGTGACGAATTTTACATTTCTTGCCCCTATTTTGAAGAACCATACCTCAGTTAAAATTCAATTTTCTTCCAGGAATTATTGGTTGATTATTGTTTAGCAAATTAGAACTCAAGTTTAACAATGCTGAGTTTAATTTTACTAAGTTACTGAAATGTGACAGAATTCACTTTTTCTGCCCAACAGTATAATTTCAATGTGATGAAAAATTGGCATGGGTTTCTACATTTCTTGTATAAATCCATTCCAACTATAATAAGGACTATTGATATGAAAGAAAATGTATCTAAATTTTAAAATGACGTATGTGACGAAATTTACATTTTTTGCCCCCTATTTTGAAGAATCATACCTCGATTATGATATAATGTTACTTTATCACCATATTACCTATGTCGATAAACTAGTTATTTTGCCAACAAATAGCAAATAAAGTTATCATATTTTTTTGTGACGAAATTTACAAATTTTTACCCCTTTCAGGTGTTGAAATTTATCCAATGTTAACATATCACTGCCATATAATAATTTATATGACCGGCGTATGGTTGAAATATTGTTAATTGATCCATAGTACGTAATATAGGGTGTTTAAGTTGGTATACTAATATTTACTCAATTTCACACATGTTGAGATATCATACAAATTTATGTGACTAAATTTACCTATTTCTGCCTTCTGTATTTGTATTTGCCTATAACAATGAAATATGTGAACAATTCCAAACACATTCAGCTCACAAAATAATGCTAGATTATTCGGCATTTCTTGTCAGGATGTCATAAACATCCCTCATATAAATTTCTTAAATGTGTGACGGAGTTTACATGATGCTACAATTTAACGTAAAAAGTCGCTAAATATGTAGATAATAGTCATATGCAACTATCCTATAAATTGGAAATTCGAAAATTTGGTCAAACACGGCAACAAGGGGTCCATATAAACTCTGTCACGTTTTTATAGTGTGACAAAGTTTACAACTCACTGCCGGCCGCATTTAAGCGATATCTTATCGTCTGATAAAGATATCGTTATGCGACAAAGTTTATCTAGAGGATGAAACGATTATCCTAACCATGAAGGGTTTATATAGTGTCATAGTGTGACACATTTTACATCATCGTGCCATTCAGTAGGGTCACTAATATTTACCAATATCCTCAAACTTCAATGAACGTGTCCATATATAATGTATAATATAACTCTTCCTTTTCCTCCCTCACTTACAAACTATTCTTTTCTTCCATATATCAGAATAAAATAACTATTATCGAGTAATATTATGAACTGAGTTAGATATAGACAATTTTAGCTGCATGTTGTCGGAAATTATTTGGACTTCAGCGGGAAATGGTCGGGACAAGTCTCATGAGTCTGAGGTTACTACAGTATACTACTGTCATCCCAGAGAGTTCCCAAAGTATCAGTTACCACTTTCTTGCCACTTATTTGCCACTTTTAACATCGATGCTTTTGAACATTGTAAAGACCTCCAAATGGGCTTAAATTACTGAGTGGAACCTGTCCCGACCATTTCCCGTTGAAATCGCTTTGGTCCGAATTACGTCGTACCTTAATTACGTCGTCCCTTACTTTTTTGACTATTATACGTGGGTGGCATAATTATTTCTGCTAAAGATGAGATTTTATTAATCTAAAGTTGTTTGACTTTCTTGGTTTCCCTTCCTTCGCAATTTACTGTGTAGATAGCTATTGTATTGAAACATGTACAATTATATTTTGACTACAAGTTTTTATTCGTTTTAGCATAAATTGATTGTATTATTTACAATTTTTACCGAAAATAAACTTCATACATCAAATAAAATGTACATATATCAACGTGTACTACTTTTTCTGCTAAAATGCAAAAATGTACCAAGTTTTCTGCAAAAACACAACTTGAATGCGAGAAGGATGTGATTAGTGGGATCACGACTTTATAGCTTAACATGTTACTCATACCTCTTCACAATGCAAATACTACTGCCCTCTTGCACAATTCTGCAAATTCTTAATATATTATGTACAATATATATAATGTATTTTCAAGCTTAAAATTAAAAAACCCTGAAAGAATGTAAGCTTAAAATTCATGGTCCTCCTCTAAAACATAAAATTATCAATGCGAGCCCAGTGCGAGCTTACTCGTGCCCAGTGCAAGCTTACGTACGTGCCCAGTGCGAGCTTACACGTGCCCAGTGCGAGCTTACACGTGCCCAGTGCGAGCTTACACGTGTCCAGTGCGAGCTTACTCGTGCCCAGTGCGAGCTTACACGTGCCCAGTGCTGTCGTATTTCGTCAGAAGTCTGGTAATTTCCTTCGCTATTCGGGTTAGACTCCCCTCGTCAGTTATACCTATACCCCGCAGGTCCTCCGTGCTGCCAGGTAATTACTTTGTTAATTAGTTTGTTAATTAGTTTGTTAATTAGTTTGTTAATTAGTTTGTTAATTAGTTTGTTAATTAGTTTGTTAATTAGTTTGTTAATTACTTTGTTAATTACTTTGTTAATTACTATGCTAATTATTTTGTTAATCACTTTGCTAATTACTTTGTTAATTACTTTGCTAATTATTTTGTTAATCACTTTGCCAATTACTTTGTAAATTACTTTGCTAATTACTTTGCTAATTACTTTGTAACTCGTTGCTTTTTTATTACACGGGGAGGGGGGGGGGGGGGGTGGGGGGAGGCAACCATATTTAAGTATATTAAAGTATATCCCCGGGTCAAAATTGGAAAAAAACCTATATTCTAATATATATAATATTAATATATTTTGAAAGGTACCTGATGTATTTGAGATGCTCTCCCTTGATATCATGGTGTTCGAACACTTCTGCTACATCTGGGAGTCCGAAACTTTTAACCCAGACCCCTGTCTGGTACACATCCCATTTATAAGGGTGATCTCGACACTGAAATACAGGGTGTTAATATAACATACTCCTTAGATTATAATTATTATTATTATAATCAGGGGGGGGGGGCGGAATAAGTAGTTCCCTCTCACCACTTGTATAATAGCATCAGGGTCCCTGGGGGGGGGGGGGGGCGGAATAAGTAGTTCCCTCTCACCACTTGTATAATAGCATCAGGGTCCCTGGGGGGGGGGGGGGCTGTAATAAGTAGTTCCCTCTCACCACTTGTATAATAGCATCAGGGTCCCTGGGGGGGGGGGGGGGGGGGGGGGGGCTGTAATAAGTAGTTCCCTCTCACCACTTGTATAATAGCATCAGGGTCCCTGGGGGGGGGGGGGGGGGCTGTAATAAGTAGTTCCCTCTCACCACTTGTATAATAGCATCAGGGTCCCTGGGGGGGGGGGGGCTGTAATAAGTAGTTCCCTCTCACCACTTGTATAATAGCATCAGGATCCCTGGGGGGGGGGGGGCTGTAATAAGTAGTTCCCTCTCACCACTTGTATAATAGCATCAGGGTCCCTGGGGGGGGGGGGGGGGGGCTGTAATAAGTAGTTCCCTCTCACCACTTGTATAATAGCATCAGGGTCCCTGGGGGGGGGGGGGGGGGGGGCTGTAATAAGTAGTTCCCTCTCACCACTTGTATAATAGCATCAGGGTCCCTGGGGGGGGGGGGGGGGGGCTGTAATAAGTAGTTCCCTCTCACCACTTGTATAATAGCATCAGGGTCCCTGGGGGGGGGGGGG